ACCTCCACCTCCAGGTTCAAGCAATTCTCCTGCTGCAGCCTCCCAAGTAGCTTGGATTACAATCAGGTGCCACCACGTCCGGCTAATTTTTTGTATTTTTAGTAGAGACAGTTTCACCATGTTGGCCAGGCTGGTGTCGAACTCCTGAGTTTCGGCAATCCATCGGCCTCAGCCTCCCAAAGTGCTAGGATTACAAGTGTGAGCCATAGCGCCCGCGGGGAAGGCCTTTTTGAGCAGATAATTGAATGGTGAAGGAAGAGGAACTCAAGGTAGGTAAAGAACATTCCAGGTGAAGAGAGGAGCAGATGTAAGCATTTCAACTGGAAATGAACTCTGTTTGTTTCAGAAACAAAAAGGCAAGGAGTGCTGAGACCTAGTCAGCAAGGAGAGGCCCACCTGTAGGTCGAGGTCGTAAGTGTGAATTTTGTTCTAATGAATTAATGGGAAGGCTTTGAAAGGTGGCTTCACCAGGTGAAAAATTCAATTCCACTTAATGGAAATACATGTCACTAACCCAGGAGTGAGTTAAATTGCAAGATTACAGATGGAAAATGAGCAAGTATTTAAATAATGATATGGTGTGTTCAGATTTTCAAAGTGCCTTCACATACAAAGCCCAAAGGCGTGGCAAATGCAAAATAAGACAGCAGTGGTTTGTCAAAGAAGAAAAGGAAAAGACAAAAAGTGTTTAAGGGGATGGTAAACATTTGACAGGGAAAATGGAATCCTAGAAATACTAAAATTTAAGGCAACTAGTCAGGCCTTAAACACTGTATACAGCACACTGCTTATTTGCAAACAATTGATATCAAAGACTTTCATCTGGAATTGTATTATGTCAATACTAGCTGGAAATAAGTTAGCAGATGGAGCTTGATGGTTCTTGGAGATTCTTTGTCTCTTTCTCTTTTTTTTTTTTTTGGATAGCATTGAAATAAGTGGGTTGACTGGATCTTTTTAAGGATCCCTTCAACTGAGGGGATGGCTCTTCTCTGAGGCTTCCCTTCTCACATCTGCTATGTTTCCCCTAAAAAAATGCCCATCAGATACTCAAGGTTTCCTGGATTTTCTTCTGCTGAAGGTCTATCATTTCCTATTCAAAATCCTCTGCCCAGCCATGCTATGGAAGCAAAAGGAAGGTTTAGGTCCTTGGTGAGTGCTCCATACAGGAGTGGGGAGAAAGGAAGAAGAGAAAATCCAGGTCCTGCCTTGGAGGAAGCTCACAGTCGGGCAAGCAGAACTAGGAGAAACAGAACCCGGACTTCCACTAGAAGTGGAGGAATCCAAACACGTAAAACAGGATATCATATTTGCAAAGATAAAGGTTAGGATGGAGGGTGAGAGACCTCTGACACATTTTCAACTGTATGTCTTTGATTTATTCAACACATGTTTGTTTCATACCTGCCAGGTATGCTAAGGAATCAAACAGATGTGGTCCCTCTCTTGGAGCTTATAGGCTAGTGGACATTTATAAATTTCCAAATTTGAAACTACCACTAGGACATGCCTGTCACTTACCCTATAATATGCATATGAATGAAAAATATGACCATACTCTGTAGTATACTGTTTGTATTTTTGTTTATTTTTTTGAGGTGGTGTCTCGCTCTGTCGCACAGGCTACAGTACAGTGGTGTAATCTCACCTCACTGCAACCTCTGCCTCCCAGGTGTAAGCAATTCTCCTGCCTCAGCCTCCCAAGGAGCTGGGATTATAGGCATGCACCACCATGCCTAGCTAATTTTTCTATTTTTAATAGAGATGGGGTTTCACCATGTTGGCCAGGCTGATCTTCAACTCCTGACCTCAGGTGATCTGCCCGCCGTGGCCTCCCAAAGTGCTGGGATTACAGGCTGTATTTTTTAAAATCATATGTATGATATTGTTTATTTGTCCGGTCCAAAACTCATGGAGTGATGGGTGTCATGGGAGTGGGATTGGTGACTATAAAAAGAGGAAGAAAGTGCTGAGCTCACTTGCTCAGCCTCCTCGCCATGCTGTGCCTGAGTTCCCACCATCAAGAAGGACTTCATCAAGTGCAGCCCCCTGACCTTGGACTTCTCAGCCTCCAAAACTGTAAGAATTAAATTCCTTTTCTTTATAAATTACCAGTTTCAGCTGTTCTGTTGTAAGCAACATTAAACAGACTAAGGCATGCACGTATTACTTTCTAATAGAAACTTAATGTCCTTTTCAACACTTATTAAAGTTACATCTTTTTTTCTTTCTTTATTTTTTTTTTTTCAAGACAGAGTTTCGCTCTTGTCACCTAGGCTGGAGTGCAGTGATGCAATCTTGGCTCACTGCAACCTCTGCCTCCAGGTTCAAGTGATTCTGCTGCCTCAGCCTCCCAGGTAGCTGAGATTACAGGCACCCACCACCAGGCCCTGCTAATTTTTGTATTTGCAGTAGAGACAGGGTTTCACCATGTTGGCCAGGCTGGTCTCGAACTTCTGACCTCAGGTAATCCACCCACCTCGGCCCTCAAAGTGCTGGGATTACAGGCATTAGCCACCACGCCGGACCATAAAGTTACATCTTAACTTTTCATTTGATTAGCAGGGTTTTCTTTTGTTTTTCCTGGCTGACCCTCTGGCTGAAACAACTTCAACAAAATTTTTGTGTCCCTTTGGCAGAAAATCCTAATCAGGATCTATGGCCTCTGAACTAGGTTACCATTCTCTCCATAGCAGTGAGCATAGACACAGATGGTAACAGCACATACTAATTAATTGGTTAATCTAATACAGCATTTTCCAGATTGATATGCATAACTGAAACAAAAGTTTAGACAGATTAGAAGATAATGTGCTCCAATACATTGTTTATCTTCATTACATGGGAGCTTTTGTTTTGTTGTTTTGAATGCTGATCATAAACCACTCAATCCATCAAGGAATCTATCAAAGTCCATCAGATGGTCATGATCTGAATTTTAAAAGCAGTCTAGGCCAGGCCCAGTGGCTACTACCTGTAATCCCAGGTTTGGAAGGCTGAGACAGGAGGATCTCTTGCACCCAGGAGTTTGAGACCAACCTGGGCAACATGGTGAGACCCCATCTCTACAAAAAATACGAAAGTTAGCCA